TTACGATAATTTGAGTAAGTTACTACAGAAATGAACGCTCGCGTTAATTATTACTTGGCGCGAGACACTACCGTGTCTCGTGATTATTCAGAACATCACAGAATTATGTTCGCTTATTAATAGGTTATAGGTTATATTATTATAGTTTTGTTTGTTTACCAAAGAAAACTTGAAATTGACATCACTATTGAAAAAATCTACGTGGAAAACCACGTCGACAAACCACATGATAGCAATACTTTCTTCTATATATTATTAAACATTATTTGAACGCAAATATGTGGATTTTTTTCACAATGTGGTTTCATTACATCGTTTTTCCATATGGTTTTCACCGCATAGTTTTCAGCACGTGGATTTGCCGATTTGCGTAAATTTTTTCAATACGAACGTTATGCGATTCATGTTACATGTGTTCATATTTGCAGGCTGTAAAATGCGGTTACTGTGGGTGGCTAATGCATGGATCCTGTGCAGAGATTGTAGCCCATAACTGCTTCGAAAGCTATGATGAAAATATCCATGTCCTCGTTGTCGACGAGAAGGGGCGTGCTACAATGAGTAATTTTATTTGCAAGCAAAAACTTTTCAACATTTGTCTGTAAATATTAAATATATTCAATAAATATACTCATTAATGTATAAACAGGTGTGAAGGAAGTAGAAGAAGGTACGCAGAGAGACGCACCACCATCAGAGAGTAGCAATGAGTCTACTCCGTACTCCGCAGACATCATGGACGAGATGCTCATTGATGCCGTAGAGCAGAGACCAGCTCTATGGAATCAAAAGTTGCCAGTTAAAAAGCGAGGCCCTTGTGTACGAGGAGAATTGTGGGATGAAGTCTTTAATAATCTTGGTAATATATAATCATTTTACTTCGTTTTATGTATTTATGAATGTATATTTAATCTGCAATCGCAAGTGGGCTAATGTACATTTATAATGTACGTAAGCGAGTTGAATTCGTAATTTGAACTAGGGATTTTCAGGTTTTAAGGATGTACCGTGGATGAAATGTCGATGGACGTACCTGAGGGACTGCTACTCAAAAGCTCGCAAAAAAATGAAAGGTTACGTACGCAGCGGATCGGGTGCGGAAGCGGGGCATCCGCAGAAAAGTTCATTCCGCTTCTATTCAAGGATGCAATTTCTAGACGAGGCTGCACAAGAAACTCCGTACGTAATGATTTGTCTTATATATACCCGTGAAAATATTTTCATATATAAATATATAGAATTATATAGAATTATATAGAATTATATAGATCAATTATATGTATATAATTATATATAATTATATAGATCAATTATATGTATATAATTATATATAATTATATATAATTATATATATTTCGGCTACGTTTCAAAACTCTATTCTGAGTAAAAGAGTAACTCTAAATCTATAGTTCATGTTACGTATACTATAGATTTAGTGTTTCACTTTTACTCGGAATAAAGTTTGGAACGTAGCCTTATATATGAAAATTTTTTCTCGGATAAGGCTTTAGAATATGAAAAATGTATGTACATTTTTCTTACATATCTTTTTGCTCAATTTTAGTACAACGAGCTCTCTATCACAGAACATATGTCGTGACGAAGATAGTGCACTGACAATGAGCCAGAACGATTCGGAATGTAATGTGTCTTCTCCAAGAAATTGTAGCACGTCAGAC